GAATAATTTGAAATGTTTAGTCACATCATCAGTCTAATTTGCTTAATCTATGGTTTACTTTGTTACTTCATTAACTCTTGTAAATGATAACTTGAGTCTAGTTAAGAATTAGTTGAATTAGTAGACATTTTTAAATGTGTAATTTATTTAAGTAAGTGAATTTGTTTAAATGAGAGAATTAAGTAAAACATTTAAATCAGAATTAAGAAATCTTTAATTTATTAAAATAAGTGATTTTGTTGCATAATGGCATTATGTGGAAAATAATTACATTTTTGTTTCTTTTAAGGTTATCAACCTATCTGTCTATCCAAATCTATCTGAGATATATTGCATAATTAAGCAAATATTTGGATGAAGACTGAAACGAAAATAGACAAGAAGATTGAGTTGTCCCTTTGCATCTTTTATGAGTGATCCATGCCATTTTCAAGTTTGGGCAGGAGCTGAGGCAAAACTTAGGAGAACTTGACACATACATATATATATATATATATAAACAGATATATATAAACATATATATAAATATATATATATATATATAAACAGATATATAAACAGATATATATAAACATATATATATATATAAACATATATATATATAAACAGATATATAAACAGATATATATAAACAGATATATAAACAGATATATAACTGCACTCACTGCTGTAACTCAGTTTGCCTTCAGAGGGCAGAGTATTGATTAGAAATTGTTTTTACTGAAAAATGTTCTTTATAACTGAGTCCGTGTAGAGGATGGATCAGTGAGACAGGATATGACATCATATCACCACTGAGAGGCCGAGATACAAACACTGATGTGTGTGTGTGTGTGTGTGTGCAGCCGTCATATGAGCGAGCGAGGAAGGAAACCACAGACAACGTGGCATAAAGAGACAGACAGAGAGAGAGAGGAGAGAGACAGACAGACAGACAGACAGACAGACAGACAGAGAGAGAGAGATGTTTTTAAAAGGTGAACAGTGTGTCAGAGTGCAACAACCAACGGTTATTACAACGTCAATGTGCGTCACACCGACTCCCGTTACTAACATCGTGTGAAAGTATGACGAGTGTGCGGTTTAAAGAGTACAGAGCCTCCTGAAGAGCTGCCGTACAGTCAGCTCAGGTGACGTGCACTCGGCCGCCCGCACAGTGGCAGCATTACAACCAGCTACAAACAAGAAGCCGGGGATAAAGCTGGGTCAAGCTAGTGTGGGTGAGCGAATGAAGAACCGGAAGTTGAGCGTATTTGGTTTTTGAAAATAAAAGTAGTATAATAGTTTTTGACAGACAAAATATGAGTTACTTTTCTCAACTTTAAGAGAGATACAAAAATATATGTACAAAGATATACTAATATACTTTTTTATTGTTATTTCAAACATCATGTGGAACAGTTACGTATGATGAGGTATTACTTCGATTATGTGAAACAGCATTTAACAAAAAATAAATATAATAGCTATATATTATAATACAAATATGACCTAATTATTGATATTTAAATGAGAAAGAAACTAAAAGAGAATCTATTCCAGGACTATCCTGGAATCTAACATGGTAAAAATCCAAAATTTTGAACAGAAGTATATATAATAGATGAGTCCATAAAACATAAATAGGCATTATACGTATATGTAGTGTAATTTTAAGTTATTTTGCCCCATAAGCTAACATGTTCCTTCTATTCAACAAACGCATCTCCAAAGACGGTCCCTTGTTCTCGAATGTTTTATTTTGAAAGTTTTCTCCGGAACCACTCCGTTCCGCCTCCCTCTCTTGACTCTCGCCGAGAAAAGGGAAAGCAAATGGACCAGGCGGCAGAAATGGAGAGCAGGAGGACTGGGAGGGTGAACGAAAATGTTGAAGAGACATGGCGTGGCAGCACAACAAAATAAGGAGATCCCAGTTGACCGAAAGGACTTCTCTGAAGAACAAAGTCAAGTTTGAGGAGTCGAGCTAACTGTCTGGAGGATTTTCATTTCGCTGTGGTCTCGTAATCAGTGCGCACAACGCTTGTGTTGGGCAGTATCTGCAGAGAGAAGTCTGGCTAACAAACCCAGTCTGACAGCACACAAAAAGGTAAAAGCAAGTGACTTCTGTTGGCGAACAAACCCAGCACTGTTGTTTGTTTACAGCCGTGATTAATACCGTACTGAAGTTACACAGCCATGCACCTTATCCATTGTTTGGAAGCTAACAGCATTGTTAGCGACTGGCGGCAACACACTTATACTCGGTATTTTGTATTTTTTTTTCCTTGAACTGACATGATGTTACAGTCATGGCGCAGCGACGTGCACGGTTAACCAGCTCAGCATCGCTTTTTACAGTCGCTAGGCTAATGTTAGCTGCTCCCATTAACAATGTGTCAAGTGCCACATGGGGGGCTCTGGTGTAACCTCACGTTACCTGTCAGTGGCAGGGGACCTGTCCGGACATGCCCTTAGACACACAGCTCTCTAGCCCTGAGTGTGAAGCCGATATCATAACATTTATACTGCATTAACATCAACGTTACACCTCGGTATTAAATCCACAGCAGCAGAAGATGTCAGCTGTCTGTGTTTACGGCACACAGACATGACCAACAAAACTCCACTCAGTTTAAAATGTTATAACCTAATTATGTTCAAGAAGTGATTGTTATCCAGCATCATTTGTGTGCATGGTTATACATAACCTAACCAATTACCTGTGCAGTAAACTGTGTGCAGTAAACTGTGTGAACCCAGCTCTGACTTACATCACTGAGCACTGATGAAGAGCTTCTCTTGTGCTTCAGGTAGCTCAGTATGAGTCGAGATGTGTGGACAAAGAAGAAAGCCAATGCCAGTGGTGACAATGGTTGGGCTGAAAGGGTGAGTATCTCTATCATCTCATCGCAATCGGCCCCCAGTATGGGGGATAACATTTAGGGTCTGTCTGATGGGGAAGTGTAACCTTAAGGTGGATAGACAGGCAGCTGGAAATATGGTGTTAGTTAGATAAAGGCTGGACTGCCGGGCAAAACTTAGAACACAACTGTGAGGCCTGCATATAGCAACGTAGTAAGTAGACAATGTTTAATATCTGTGTAACTGAAGAGGAAAAACTGCCCGTAAAATGTGGGCAACATGTATGTTTCTTTATTTAAATGGTGTATGTACAGGCTATTGGGGAAGATGCAGGTAATTATGTATTATACACTGCAATTTCCAATTTCCAATGCAATTTCCCAGCTTGGGATCAATAAAGTATATCTATCTATACAGACAGATGCTGCACAATAGTTATGGTATCATAAGAAGGTTATGTGATATTACTACCAGCATATTAAGACTGCATATATTTATTTATATATAGCGTATATAGATGTACTGTAGCTATACATTTCAGGGGTTATTATGTAAACCACAAAAATACTTTCATAACATATATGTCAGGCATATGATTTGATTTGTACAGATCTTCTAGTTGGCCAGTTCAGCTCTGGGATTCTGAAGGCACAGTTGTTGTTGAATGATTTTATAACACCTTGTTCTCTGCTCTCTTTGTTTGTAGGGCGGCTACATGGCTGCCAAAGTTTCAAAGCTGGACGAGCAGTTTAAACTCGATGCCCCCAGAGAAAAACAGAAGGAAGGTTCCTGCTCCAACATTTTCAATGGAGTGTCCATCTATGTCAATGGATACACAGGTAACACTAATCACTAGTTTGTCTCCCTCCTCCCCCCTCACAATTCAGTCAGTGTGATGTTTTGTGCAGATCTTTAAGTTGGACTTTTGTAGATTGCTTGATGCACATTTACCACAGAGGACACAACTGTCAGATGGTCTACTGCTTATTTCATAATGGAGTTCACATTGTAATTTTCCACTGTCAACATGTTACCGTAAAATAATTCATGAAATAAATCATCTTAAACTGACATCATTTCTGTCTTTTTGGTTTACAATATTTCTCCTGTTTGTGAGCAGATCCAAGTGCAGATGAACTACGCAGACTGATGATGTTGCATGGCGGCCAGTTCCACGTCTACTACTCTCGCTCCAAGACCACCCACATCATCGCCAATAACTTACCCAACACCAAAATTCAGGAGCTCAAAGGGGAAAAGGTCATCAGGCCAGAGTGGATCACTGACAGGTGTGTTCAGTTGAGCATGTTGGATTGTTTATTCAATCTATTTTCCACAATATGAGCTGAAAAAACTTTTTCCTTTGTCTAAACCAGTATCAAGGCTGGGCGTCTCCTGCCTTACCTACAGTACCAGCTGTATGCTAAACAGAAAGGCCCACTCTTCCCTGGCATGACTCTGCGTCAGACCTCAGAGATCGCAGGACCCAGCCACGGGCTGCTGCAGCCGAGCGTCCAGCAACCGCTTCACCTGCCACAGCGCAGCTTTCAGCACTCTGTCCTCAACCAGGAGCAGTCTTCATCCAGCTGCCAGTATAACTCCATCCCTCACCCCAGCCACAGTCAACTTCACCAAGGCAACATCCAACCTCAGTCCATCCAGCACGGCTCCGCAGCTCGTTTCATTAACCCCCAACCAAGTCGCTTAGCATCCTGTCACGTCAATACAGATCCTAGACACAGAAGTCCTTTACACACCTACCCGCTGTCTAACCCAAGCCCCACTAAGCACCCACACAAACCCCCACAGTCTACTCCTCAAACACCTCATCCCAATCTCCAGCACCAGAGCACTGGCCAGCCACAACCTCAGATCAACTTTTCTTGCAACAGTGCCCGAAGTGGCTGCAAGGAGGTGGAATTAAAAATGTGAGTACCTGTTTTACTTTGACATTAGAGATCAGACCATTTTTGTTACATTAATTCTTATTAAATAAGACCTCTTTATCCCACAGAAACGGATTATTGCAGACCTCATTGGATGTGATGAGCCATTCAAAAATAAATGAAATGCAAGAGTGTGGCGAAGAAGATCCTCTCCCACAGGTGGTGAAGGAAGCACCCCTGACCAATGGACACACTCACCTTGTTAATGGTGCCTTAAAGCCAGAGGACCTCTCCCCTGTTACAGATAAACCCTCTGTTGACAAGAAACTGCCTGAATGCAGAGTCAGTAGCTCAGAGGATAAACCTCAGAGTCATCCAGTGCAGTTTCCGACCAAACACGACCCATATGAGTTTCCCCACAGTCCTCCAAAGCGATCCGACCAGTCTTCTGTCTTTCTGGAGCAATCCAGCTCACAGGGAGCCCACGAGCAGAGACCTAAACCCCCACCCCCCACCTACCAGGAGGCTATAAAAGCCACCGAAAACCACCCACTGCTAAAACAGCTCCAGCCATCTTGTCCAGTTGATTCAAATCCTGAAAAGACTCCTCTTTCACCTGCATCTCGCTCTCTCTCACATTCTCCAGTTCGACTGAACGGAAGTCACCACAATGCCTTTTCATCGGACTCAGCCTCGCTAACTCCCACTGAAAAGTCATCATCATCATCATCATCATCTAAGTCTTCAGTGCATCTGCTGGCACAGACAGGCGATTTGATCTCCGAGTTCTACTCTCACTCACGTTTACACCAGATCTCCACTTGGAGGACTGGCTTTTCTGAGTATGTCAATGAACTGCACAGTAAAAGAAGAGCAGTGGGGGGCACCTCCTTTTCTGGAAAAGACAGACTGAGGAAATCTATGGCCCAGCGCTCTGCAGAGAGTCAAGGTGGGAAAGGAAAGGTTCCTTTGTTGCTTTGCCCTGTAAAATGCAGGCTGCCATTTGTTCTTTCTTGTTTTTTTTGTGAAAGAAGGATGTATTTGGATTTTTACCAACTTCTCCAGTGGAAATTCAGACAGAGACATCTCTCATTCTTGCATTGTGTCCTCTTGCTCTCTACTGTAAACTGCCAATAAAGGCAAAATGCTAAAAACATTGTTTAGAATATAGGATGTGTCATCGATAATAAGCAAACCAGTGCTCATAAGGCCTGAAAGGTCAAGTTAAAAAAAGATTAAAAAAAAGATCTGTTTCCCTGCTTATTAATGAGACAATACTTGTATGTGTAGCTCCTGTCAGTTAAACTGGACTTCTGGGGATGCATGAGGCATCATTAGATGTTCTGTTCATGTCTGTTGTGATTTTGAAAGCTAGTCTGATGATCTGGTATGTATTTATTTGTGTGGTCAGGTACATCGGCCCCCGCGAGTGTTAAATCTTGTGTTTTTCACGTGGACATGGACTGTTTCTTTGTGTCTGTGGGGATCCGACATCGGCCAGAGCTTAAAGGTAAGGCTCCTCCTGTCAGTTTAAATTGTGTGCTGTCAGTGAAACATGTTTATGCGTAATTCAGTAGTTCATAGAAAAGACTCGCATACATCCAGTCAGTGCTCCTGGTTGAGTTAATGGGTTTTTTCGTAGGAAAGCCTGTGGCTGTGACCAGTAACCGTGGAGAGGGCAGAGTGCCCCGAAGGGCTGGGGCCAACCCTCAGCTGGAGCTGCAGTACTACCAGAGGAAACAAACTCATCCTCAGTCTGGTGAGACAGTCATGACCAACTTCAATTTTCACAGACCTTGCTCAGTATATTTCCTGTACATGTCTTACTTTACTGTGCTTGACTAAGTGTATCCTTGGCCTGCCTCTCAGAGAGGGCAGATGAGGATCTATACAGAACTCCTTCACAAGAGAGTCCTGACTCCCATGTTAACGGAGTGGACCAAGATGTTGCTGCTCTCTCAATGGCAGAGATTGCATCCTGCAGTTATGAGGCTAGGTAAGATATAAACACACGCTCATGGCAGCTTTAACATCTGTATTTTGCACTAACTGCTATGTTAATAAATCGTTTGTCTCTCACAGGCAGGCGGGTGTGAGGAATGGGATGTTTTTTGGCAAAGCAAAACAGCTGTGTCCCTCTCTGCAGTCTGTCCCATATGATTTTGAGGCCTATAAAGAGGTGGCTCTCACCATGTATGAGACTCTGGCAGGGTAAGAAGACCTCCCTGGTTATTTTTATTGTACTTCCTTGTCCCTTACATGCAAAATGACCTAAAGCACACCCTCTCATCTATTGTTCTCTTTAGTTATACCCATGACATTGAGGCTCTGAGCTGTGACGAAGTGCTGATAGACGCTTCTGCCCTGCTAGCGGAGTTGGGCATCAACCCAGAAGATTTGGCCAAAGCGATCAGAGCAGACATCAAGGAGAAAACAAGCTGCTGTGCCTCAGTGGGCATGGGTGAGTCTCTTACTGGATAATAGATCAAGACAGCGTTCCTATTTTACAAACTCAGACCGACTGCTCATCTGTTCAGGGTCCAACATCCTCTTGGCTCGGCTGGCGACCCGCAAGGCAAAGCCAGATGGGCAGCACTTCTTAAAGCCGGAAGAAGTGGATGACTTTATTAGGGACCTGCCAGTGACCAGCCTACCAGGTAGATACAGCGCCACCTGCTGGTCATGGTCTTCACTCTACGTTCTTGTGGTAAATGTTTGATTAATTGTGCTTTCTTTTAGGTGTTGGGCCTGTAATGGGCAGAAAGCTGGCTGCTATGGGTGTAAGGTCATGTGGGGACCTCCAACAGGTGTCGCTTTCTCAGCTGCAAAAAAAGTTTGGACCCCGGACCGGACAAACCCTGTTTCGATTCTGCAGGGGGCTAGATGACCGGCCTGTCCGCTACGAGAAGGAAAGGAAGTCTGTCTCAGCCGAGATCAACTACAACATTCGCTTCACTCGGGTTAGGCCTGCTTTCTTTTCTCCTGTGCCATATGTTCTTTCTCATCCTCCCTGCGTTTCCCACCCATCTCTCCCTAACCCTCTTGTCCCCCTACCTCTGTGACCAGGTTGATGAGGCAGAGTGTTTCCTGACTAACTTGTCCATGGAGGTGCAGAAACGTTTACAAGAAGCAGGGCTGCGGGGTCGCAGAGTTACCCTTAAGGTCATGGTTCGCAAGGTTGGAGCGCCACTGGAACCGGCTAAATACGGTGGCCATGGCATATGTGATAACCTAGCTAGGTAAGAATGGGCCTGTCATCCCTGTATGCTATGATTGACTATGAGGATTTATCCGTGTCGTTGTCTGTCTCTAAACTAATTTTCATCTGTCTCCTGTCAGGACTGTGATGCTCGCTCAATCCACTGACAGTGGTCAGCTAATTGCCGCTGCCGTCATCAAGCTGTTCCATGCCATGCGGTTGCAGGTTCAGGACCTGAGGGGAGTCGGCATCCAGGTTCAGCTTCTCGAAGGACATCACTCTGTCCACAAGGACTCTACGGGCCCCCGGACCCGCTCCATCAAAGAGATGTTGCTGGACCAGGAATTGAGTGCGAGATCAAGCAAAAGAGGTTTGTGTAACGTCTTTTTGTTTCAGTTTATGTCTTTTGTTGTCGTCTGTGAAATGAATTGAGTTCGATGTCAATGTTACAGATGCCACTGATAACAACACACATCAGGAAAAGACTTCCTCGACAACCGCCCCATCATCTGGCTCCTCTCCACATCCTCTGTCCCCTCCCGAGCCAGTGCCAGGGACAAGCAGAGACCAGCAGGCATGCAGACAAACTCCTAAGCATTCTCGAACACGTCTCAACTTAAGTATTGAGGTCCCTTCCCCTTCACAGGTGAGGGCTTGAAGGAAGTGTCTGATTGATGAACAATACCTAAACAATTAAATGTTTTCAACGACTTGTGCTCCTTTATGATACCCAAGGTGGATCGTTCTGTGTTGGAGGCCTTGCCTGCAGAGCTGAGGGAACAAGTGGAGCAGTCGTGGAATAATCGGGATGGGAGACTGAGTCATCCTCAGTCACCCACTCCACAGCCCTCCGCTCCTCTTCCGCAGCCTCCCGCTCTGAAGTCTCGTCCAACCACTCCTCCTCATCCTCCTACCACTGCTCCTGCGCTGTACACTCCACCTATTGGCACCTTGGTTCTGCAGATTCCAAATCAGCCAGACAGTCCTGGGATTGTACTGGAACTACCAAACTTCTCACAAGTAGGGCTGCAAACATTTTAAATTTTTAATGAACTGGTCATTTAATTTTACAACACAAAGAATGTTTTATTATAGATTTAATTGTATTATCTTCTATAAAATGGCTGGAGAGTGTTCAGTGTTCGAATGTTGTTCTCTTTTGAATACTTTATAGCCTTTTGGCAGCAGACCAGCAGAGTAGCCTCTTTCCAGGTCTCCACTGTGGAGAAGAGGCTTTTTGGCTCAGGTTTTACCTGTTTGGTGACACCTGGGAGTTACATATCCTCCTGGATCCATATGTTTCATACATCTTTATTATCTATGATTTAGTCATCCTTGTTGTCCATACTGTAATATTGGATTAGTCCGTAATAAAGTCCCTAATAATGCAAAACTGATTTCATTGTGTGTGACTAGACTTCAGCTTCACTAAGCCTCTCTGCTTTCTGACTGCAGGTTGATCCGGATGTATTTGCTGCCCTTCCCAAAGAGCTGCAGGAGGAACTGAAGTCTGCCTACAACCGCATTACAACTGTCCAGCCCCAGGCAAAACTGTGTAAGTCCTCAGGTGAATTAGTTGCAAAGGAATGCATTTTGCTTTTTATTCTACTGTTACCAGCATGCATATTCTGTTTATGTCCTCTTGGTCTCTCAGCAGTGGAGCAGAAGAATCCACTGTTGCAGCTAAAGCAGTCAGGAATTGGCATTGGTAGGGTTAAGAGGCGCTACAAGCGAAAAAATGCCGTGAGTCCAGTTAAAAAAGGTCCTTCTCCTGTGAAGAGGCGCCACATGACAAACAGCCCAGCCAAAACCCTACCACCTACTGTAAAATCACGGGAACCAATGAACATAATAAAGGTAAGCCTATAATAGGTTTCAAACGTGAGGAAGACTGTTGTTATGTGAAAGTAGAACATTCATGGCAGTTTGGTACTTAACTAATCTTCTTGCTCACACCTGTTTGCCCGTCACAGACTGAAAACGGTCCCTGCACATCGACCTCAAAACCAGAAATCCCAGAGACTCTGTCCAAATTCATTCCTCGCCCTGCTCCAGCGTTGGCCGGAGCCTGTGACCTGACGGACATTAAAACACTCCTACGGGAGTGGGTCACCACCATAACAGGTATACAGGGAGGAAACAGCTCTGTCAATAGTGCCAGGTCATGCAGTTACCTGTGTTATCGTTTGTGAGGTTGCAAAAATGCAGTTTTAATCACTTCTTCCTTTTTCTTAGAACCCATGGAGGAGGACATCCTGCAGGTGGTTAAATACTGCACTGATCTGATTGACGATAAAGATCTGGAGAAGTTGGATTTGATTATAAAATATATGAAAAGGTAAGAGCAGCATGATTCAACCTTCTCCATTCCTCCCTCACTTTTTTTGTTGTTGTCATTAATTCCTTATGCTGCCTGATTCTTCCCCTGCAGGCTCATGCAGCAGTCGGTGGAGTCCGTTTGGAGTATGGCTTTCGACTTCATCCTAGACAACGTCCAGGTGGTTGTGCAGCAGGCTTATGGTAGCACCTTGAAGATAGCGTGAAGGGAGGGGTGACTGTTTTCACTGTGTGTTACCATTACACCACCACTTTTTGTTCTGCTACTTTCACAAGGCCATCCGCAATACAAATTGTGACGAGTAAAGGATTATTTTCCTCCCTCTCAACTGTGATACCACTGCAGCATCTACCAGAATGTTCTCAGTGGCCTCCTGAGAGTGAGACACAAATTAATGACTTCACACACACACCTCATAGCAGTACTTGATCTTTTAAGGTCCAGTGTGTAACATTTAGGAGCATCTACTGGCAGAAAAAGAATATAATATTCATAGGTATGATTTTATTTGTGAATAATCACTTGAATTGCTTTTGTTACCGTTTTTATCTACAGAGGGAGCGGGTCCTCTTCCACAGAGGCCGCCATGTTGAACCATCATGTTT